ACAATTAAGTTATTTTATTTATGTTAAAGCAGTTTTCAATGAGGTGTCGTAAGCCTAAATCAACAGAAATTACAACAGCCAATCACAACAAAGTAAACAACGGAACGAGACAATGAGCGCTGTATGGAAGAGCACCTGACCGACTCCGGAAGCGAGTAAACATGTGTGTGACCAAGTTAGGACTGGTTCTGGTTCCTGCGTCTGATTTCTAATAGAATAGATTCTAATTCTGATAATAGGGAAATTTGGAAACTACTTTTGGATTAGAGTCAATACTTACTCCACCGTGGTGTACCCGGAGTAACAGATGGCGTCCCTAGAAATCAAGACAAGTGCGAAGATTAGGTTTGTCAGTGGCATTGAAATCATCAAAAAGGCAAAAATAAATTCTTAGATAAATGAGTTATAAACAACAACATTGAAAATGAACCATTTTTTGAATGCGTATGCATACTTGTTTTACGAAACTTTTGCGAATTGTACGCGCTGTGGATTTCTTCTCTTCTTTCGTTTTGCTTTCTTTATTTGCTTTGTTCCCATGATCGCAAAATTGTGTTACCTATTCACAATTGGAATTCTATGCACGTATATAATGTATGACAATAACATTCTAATTAAAAAAGGTTTTACTTCAGGTAAACATACTAAAATAGAAAAAGGTAAATGCAAAAATAATAAAAAAAATGCTTTTGCCATTGCGGTTTTCGAGTACGGTACTGTTAGCTAAGCAGAATTAATGACTTGTTCTACGAAATCAGGTGAGTGCCCTTGAAAGAAAAACCAAGTTGCTTTTTTTTCATATTAAGAAATCTTTAAAACGTAAATAAACTATTGCCATTCATTTCATACCATATGCATCCCACATACGTAATGCAATTTCTATCAAAATAATTTTAATCAGAGGATCAGTCTCATACCCACCTAAAAAAGGAAAATCCAATAAAATCGCAGCTAGGGTCCCAGGCCACCATGTAGCTTATAGTTAATGAGAGCTCCCTTCTTACTACAGGAAAGTTTGGCGTGTGGTTGAAGGGAATGTATTGCCCTGACTAAAGGAGGCAGAAATCTTAAATTGACTAAACTACAGAATACAGGGCCACTTCTAATCATCCACCAAACAAGCCGGCTCGTTTGGCTCGTTTGCTTCCTTGTCATTCACTGCCGAGCCAAAAAAGCCAAACGAGCCACTAAATATATAGACCTACGAGTTAACGCATATATAGATTATTCCTCGTTCTTTTATCCACTGCCGAGCCAAACGAGCCAAACGAGCCACTAAATATATACACCGTCAAAAGTGGCCCTGTATTGTATAGTTGCTCCCTTAAATTTAAGACTTACTTGTCGCGGACAAAAAGGTACTTGTAGGTGAGCCTATAAGCCAGCAACTGACCGATTGTGAGTCGTTTGCACTGGAATATGCGGACACTGATAAACGGATCGTTTGGCACATGGACGAGGTTACGTATAAAGGGACTGATGTCGTCACTTTTAGTGGTCTTTGGTAAGAAGATGGCGTGACATTCCCAATTATTCTAGAACTTGACACCTCCTGTGTAGCCACGCTTGTAGTCTGGGACACACTCACTGAAGAATAAACCACACAGACAAATATTTCATGTCAAAATCAAACTTTGTAAAAACTGTAGTTTCTGACGATCGAGGAACGACTTAGTCAGAAATAATCATCATCGCCAGAAAAGTTGAACCGACATGAGCAGTTGAAGCCCTATTTTGATCTTCAGATTACAGAAAATATATGGGGAAAAGTGTTTGATTGTCTTGCGGTTTAAAACATCTTAAAAATCCCAAGTGACTTCCTTTCTAATTTAGGCCATATATTCCTGAAGTTTGTTTCGAAGCTTCGCCGAACGCCATGAAAAATATCAATTTCGGTTCGGTTTTAGGTATTTTCAAAAGTTACATTTTACGACGCCATTTGTCACTGTGTCACTAATGTATTCAAAGCTCTGGCGCTAAGTCCGAAATCAAAGTTCGATTTATACTAGTATATGGGCAATGCCCCCCTTACTTCCTATCCAGTTGATAAGTTCCAACATTCCTGTGTTTCATTTCATAAGTATGGCTTTGTTCCGTAACATCCGTAACATTCACCGTAACATTCACCGAATTTACGAAACACTACAGCTCGCGGAAGCTCTCTAAAACACCATCCATGATCGCATACCGGTGTAAAACATCGCCAAATTACTCGTTTTCGAGCTGATCGTGGCCACCAGGCGTCCTTCAAACTCATAAAACTAGAATCTAGAATTGTTCGTGATTTGGGGGTCTATTTTTGCTTGAATTTTGGCGGACTGTTGAATATTTAACCGGCGATAACGTGACCTCTGTCTGTTGATTTCAATGTGGAGTATTTTTTCTCATTCAGGTATAAAACCTTTGATACGGGTTCTGTAATTTATGTATTCTCTTTTTCCGCATCTCTATCCTGGTCCCAGAGGTTTTTCTTGATTTTTCTCCGCATGAGAGAGCTGCGAGAGAGCCGCGAAGCGGCGAGAAAGGTTGATTCTCTTCTTTCTCGCCGCTTCACGAAAAGATGAAAAATCAAGAAAAACCTTTGGGACCAGGGTACCGCACTCCGCCCACTTTCTGGCGATGATTCTGACGACACGATGAAGAAGCTCGTGGCGCGTCATGGGACGTTTATGGACGTTTTGGCGGGAGATTTAGGTCATTCCAGGTCAGTCCTTTTCCAGTTTCCCATTGGAAAATGGTAAGTTATTTTTAGTTAATAATTAGCCAACACGCGAATGGATNATCGAACAATTTATGATACATATATTATATATGAACTGGCTTACCTAATGCTTAGAGATGGCCGTACAAGATGTGATTATTGCTAAGCCAGAATAACTAACGTATATCAAAGTTCCAATAAGTTTGTCCAGCATCTAATATGAGAGAATTCAGCTACTTCTAGTTTTTCTCTGGTAATGTAGCATTGAGTAAATATTTCAAAATAGTTCAAAACAATTGGGAATCTATAAGATCATACAATGTAGGAAATTCTCAATGAGGTCAAATTCAGTTGTACTTTTATGTTCTTAGCAAATTATACACCAGACCATGTGTCCTTCTATGTTACACCCTGTGCCAGAAAATAGAACATCAAGCCACATGATGCACACTTTCAATACGGTGGAAATCACCAAATATTTAATTGCCACTGATGAACAATATCATTTACTCTGTTTAAATTCACTACCAAATGACAAATTAAACAATTACGTGCCAGGAATTATTAGATAACTAATTTTTCTGCCAGTTTACAAGCAAATAGCTCACTATCCCGGGTTGATTAACAACTCTACACAACCTTAGTGGAATTACACCATCAAATATATGCCATCCATTTATCCTCCTAATAGCCATTTCAGCTTTTACATTTGCAGTTCTGGTTCATGGTTGAAAAACAGTCCTCCTTAGAAAATTAGTAAAATTATCGTCTGGTCTGACTTACTTGGTCGCATATAAGGGATGAAGATTATAACCTTCTTGCTTGCCAGTAAATACTGTCTATCAAATCCCTAACATTATGGAAATTCCTACAAGGCCTTAAAATGTGTTGTCAGACTTTTGTTAGTTCACTCTGCTTCTCCAGGTCTTGGGTGTCTGACCTTTTATATCTCTGCAGTCTATTCTGCACTTTATGTTTTCAAATTCAGCCTGAAAAACTTCAGGTAAATAAATAATGGGCAGGCTTCCCAACATCAAATACGGAAAATTGGCCCATGCAATAATTTATCTGACACTACTAGTTCTGAAATATTAAACCTGAAAGCCAGATGTTGCTGAAATATTAAGCGAGTAAAAAAAGATTCAAAATTCATCAATGGCTGTATTTAAATCACTAATGTCCTTCCACATTCAACGCTGTTTTGGGGAAACCTTTTTTTCTTTACCTCAGAGGCATGAAAGCTGATTAATTCCTAAGTTGATTGAAGCTGATGGGTATTCACTTCTTCTTTGCCAGACTCACATGCCTCGCATCTTGTCGCTCTACACAGAGATTCCTCATTAACTTTTGTGCAGGGGAAAACCGAGGGTACGGCTCCCAGTTTCAATAAGTGTACTCAGTGCTTGGAACAACAGAAATTATTTCCTACCGAGGTGAAATAGGCATCTCCCCTTTTCATAAGTATTTCCCACTTTTCCTTTTTTGTTTATCTGGCTTGTCCGAAGGAAACTTAGTCGTGGAAATGATAAATCAGGTCGGTTTTTGCTTCGATTATTAGAGTTTGCAGCCGCACAACACTTGTGTCCAACTCTTTTCCTTTCCTTACCACATTTGCTCCAGACAAGTAGCTCTAATCTACATACATTCGAATTTTTCGTTCTTCCGCGACATTTCGTCCGCCATTTTGAAAGCTCCAGGGCTATTAAGCCTAGCTTGCATGCAACCTCCGGGTTTTTCTGGAATCGGTGTATATGAAAGCTTGGTTTAGCTTTCCTTCAAAGGGCAGTTTCAAGTATTCTACTGTTACATTTTGTACATACACAACTCTTTCCTAACAATGTCTGCGTCTGGTTACCATGTTATCCTATAATTACATGTAGCAAAGAGCGAGGCTCGAGTTTAGGCATCAGTTACATCTCTCGCGCAGGTTTTTTATCATCAAGAGGCGACTTCAAAAGCTAGCATTTAGAGTTTGAAACAGGTTGTGATTCAGTTTCGTTTGACTAGTAAAATAAAGAAAGAGATTACTTACCCTCAAAGAAAACGGAGAAAAGAAACACTATGCAAACTGCAGCCCGCATCCTCGTACTGTTGTCATGGGACATAAATGTGGTGTGATCTTAAAGCGTTTGAAAGTTTGCTCTTTTTGACCTTATAATGCGCGCTGGATCACGTCCAAATAAAGCTGATTCATNTCCAAAGGAAACTCAGTCGTGGAAATGATAAATCAGGTCGGTTTTTGCTTCGATTATTAGAGTTTGCAGCCGCACAACACTTGTGTCCAACTCTTTTCCATTTCTTTACCACATTTGCTCCAGACAAGTAGCTCTAACCTACATACATTCGAATTTTTTCGTTCTTCCCCAGCATTTCGTCCGCCATTTTGAAAGCTCGAGGGCTATTAAGCCTCACTTGCGTGCAACATCCGGTTTTTTCTGGAATCGGTGTATTGATAGCGCTAAGTGACATAGACTACGAATAGTCCCTCTTTCGCTTAGTCCGTCGTGCGTGACGCGAAAGAAAACTGGAGAAAAAAATGGCCGTGCGAAATCCTGGGAGCGAGGAGCGCACGAAAGGAGGGACTGCCGCCTAAGCCTCCTACTCGTAGTCTATAAGTGACAAAAAGATTGATTATTATCGATTACTCACAACGAATCCTGTTATCGATTTTTATCCATTTTCAATATCATTGACTGGTTTTATCGATTTTTATCGAATATTATTGATTATCGATTTTATTCAGTGACTACCCCGGGCTGAGGAGATGAACCAGGGTCTACCGAGAAACAACTCCATCCTAGTGGTCAGAGTGGGACTTGAACCTGCGACCTCCAGATTTNAAGTAGCTCTAACCTACATACATTCGAATTTTTTCGTTCTTCCCCAGCATTTCGTCCGCCATTTTGAAAGCTCGAGGGCTATTAAGCCTCGCTTGCGTGCAACTTCCGGTTTTTTTCTAGAATCGGTGTATTGCGCTGCACTTGAAAATGGTTACCGTTGTCCTTTGTTCCCGTTTGGCCTTGAAGGACTTTTCCTGCTACCATCTTCTTTCGCATGGCGCGATGTAAAAGAATGTAGATGAAGATAATGGCGAAGGCTGCCAGGTAGCCGTGGATGAAGAGATCCATAATAACCCATCAATTGAAGACACCAGAAGGTTGCTGAGTAAAGACAGATGACTGCAACACTGATCAGGACTTTCTTCTTGGTGACAAGGCGGCCGTACTTTAGAGGCAATGAAACCACGATATATACTGCGTCAGGGTGAAGGCGAAGACGATTAACAACGATATAGTCATAGTAAAACCACCGATTTGCGCACCAATGCGCATGAAAAGTGCCCGTTTCATACTGGCAGGATGTTGAAAGTGCAGCAACATGAAGCAAGTGGCGAATATGGGTTCATGAACCAGCGCTGTTAATAAGTCGACAATGGCTCAACCGACGAGGAAATACGTTATTGGGTTGCAAAAGATTTCCAGTGGATTGACGTAAAAAACAAAAAGGAGACCATTGGCCAAGATGGATATGGATGCGCCTACGATGATAAAGATGGCGAAGCCAAACGCAGCTTTGTGAAACTCTTCGTATGGGTTGCGTCCAACGCGAATAAGTATGGCATTTGCATTTGCCAGTAAGGAATCATTCAAGGTTGAATTGCTGTGAACAAGGATTTCCATTGTGGCGTTAAAGGTTTCACTTGCTAAGTGCATGTACGTTAGAAATGCCATGCGATGGAATTGTCTCAGTGATCTCTCTTGGTTTTGATTCTGCGCAGCCTGCAAGCTGCAAAAAAATCACATCTGTTGGTTGTACATTCATTATGTGCCATTTGCAGAGTTATATTTACTTGTTACTTCCAGCTGAGGTATTGAATCTGACATGCATTAATTTTACTAACTTCTGTTAATTAAATGAAACATGTCCCCCACCACCAGGGTTTTAAAGAATTTTACTTTTTCTCAGTATTGAGTTTTGTACCACACGTCGAAGTCAATAGCAGAAGCTCATTTATTTTGTTATGCTTTCGTGATGGAAGAGGTTTCTCGGTTTTCAAATTACTACTTAAAATTAGTGACAACAAAATTGCCTTGTGTAGCTGTTTGATATAGCAGTTACTATTCATAATATTGTCACCACGTTGAGGTTTAACCGTTGTCACTCAGAGCTTTTCTTTAAGAATTTACTCTTTTTCATTCCAAGAAGAGACACTCCCATATTAAAGTGCCGGAAGAGCTGATCGTGAAAATTTTGAAAGCAACTACTAAGATGCACCAGGATTTCGTCTCGTGGGCGTGGTTCAAATAGACTTTCTCATGCAAGAACTTGCAGTCATTTAAATTTGTTCACATTTTTTGGGCTTAATACTCTAAACGATACAAGGATAAATATAACATACTTGGGAACTTCTGACGCCGCCAATTAAAAGGTATTCATAAATAAAAAGTACCATGATAACTTTTGGCATTTTCCGCTGGGAGTTAGCCCGGGAATTTTTCCTTTATAATCGGAGCTCGCTCTCTCTATTGAAATTTCCGAACCTGGTAGGCTAACTTTGCAAGGAAATAAAAGACGAAAATTAAACGGTATTTTCTACTTGTTCGAGAAGAATGCAAAACAGAAACACCTCACACTGTTGACATTTAAGCTGTTGACAAGGCGTTGGTGGCTCACTAAGGGTGGCTTTCCCTCACGAAGTTTGAGCATGTCGCCAACTTTTGTGTTGGTTTAAACTGGGTGAAGGCTCATCTCGAGCGCTAGGCTCTGTTTAACACACAGTTTTGAGGAGTGACCTCTTAATTTCTGTGATCCTGAGATGGCTTTGATAGAGAAGGAGACCAGTGGGAGCAGTGTCTGTTGGTTTTCGATAAACCGATGTTGTCAGGTGACAGCTTCTCTTCCATATTCCCATACCCCCAAATGGAAATTTGTTGTTTGCCGCTAACTCCACAGTAGGTAGGTAGTTGAGTTTATCTTATCTTGGTTAAGCTTTATCGCCGGGTGGTAAACTTTATTGCCGGGTGGTAGTTGTTTTGTGTTGACAATAAGCTGTAACTAGCGATATAGGTCTGGTACTATTGATAGGGTGTTATCAACATACCGTTTGCTATCAACACGTTCCTACTCTAGTATAGGTTAGCAAAATTCAGCTGAACTAGCTCTGGTATAGGCTAAGGGCTCCAGGGTCCCAGCGGCACATCCCCACCCAGAAATTTCCAAAGTACCCCCCCTCCCGGACATATATAAGCAAAACTTCTGACCGTTCTTTTTAATTTATACCTTATAATGATGCCGAGAAGACATCGAAACCTCGTTTTTCATGTTCTTAGCGTTGATAGTCCCTATTCATTGTAAACTGTATTGACTACTACATTTTCGCTTATTAGAAATATATATTATATTTTATTGTATGGCTGTGTCTCACAAGGACTGGGAACTACCGAATTCACAAATTTGATTGGCTGAAATCGATATTGAAAGCGGTCTAGATTTTCCCATTTATACTGGTATCTAGACCGGTTACATTTTGCGGTGAAAAAGTTTCAAACTAAAATGCAAAAATATTGACTTTTTTCTTCTAACAATATTTATTTATTGAAGTGCCAAACTGAGCCTGATGAGAAAAAGGTATAGAGGACGCGGCAAACTTTCGCAGAATTAAGTTCGCCTCATCGCCGTTCAAAAGCAAAATGTCAGCTAGTACAGCCCAGTTACATAAAAAGAATTAAATTTCTCTTGTTTACCATATAATAAACACCTTATTAACCGAGCTTAGTCGGTCTGTATGGGAGAATCTTGACCTCGGTCATGTGTACAGACCTCATTGCGTTCGGTCTGTACTCACGACCTCGGTCAAGATTCTCCCATACAGACCTCCTGCTCGGTTAATAAGAACTAAATATTATTATATGAAAGCTTGAACACAGAAGGATTTGACCACACGTGATGATCGAAAATTCTTTCAAATTTCGTTCTGTGACGATAGGTTTTTTTCGTAATAGTTGTATATTTTCAGCTGAACGGACATTTGAAGTGAACTGCGCAGGGAACGCTTTCACAAATTGGGGAATCTAATTCTGGAGAGCTCTGCTTGGCCTGCGAGAACAGAGGATCTACTTTTACAGTCTTCTCGATGGACGTTAAGAAAAAGACATAACTTGGTCCAACACCAGTTTATTCTCCACACGCTTGAAGTCGAAAATGTAGTCGTCTAGGATATAATCGAAAAAAGCTTTACAAATGAACTTGCTTATATATCAGGGCCAAGCCATCAAAGCCCTAATAAGCTAGTCCAGGATTAGTGATAATTTTGATCGCAGTTCTGCAACTTTTCGGTGACGTTTTATGTTTATATTGTTTGTCCTCATGGTTTTAGTCTGAATAATCTCAAATTTCAAAAAATAAATAAATAAATAAATAAAAAAAATAAGCAGTGAAAAACATTTTTATGCAAGAAAAATTAATTCTTCGGTTAACTTTTAATCCTGGGTTAGCGTTAACTGGCTTCCGAACAACCTGACGAAGGTGTTTACAATGCATCTTCTGACATACAAATCGAGCGGAAAGTACTTTAATTAAGATAGCGAATTCTAATCAACACTGCGACGTTTCCAAATTTAAAAATAGCGAATTAACATTAATATTCACCGCTTGAAACTAAGATATAACAAACTTGGTTGGTGTCAATAATTTAAAATTGCAAGGGAACATTATCCCAGGGATGAAAATTAACAAAACTTCATTACGGAAAAATAGTTCAGCTGGCTTGCTTCCGTGGAAACTAATATACGCGAATGAAACTCAAAAGGACAAGATCGATATCAATCTATTTGCCTACTAAATGAAAGTTGATGATGAAGAAGTTGCACAGATACAGGTGTACAAAGAATCGGCAATGTACAAAGTAGAATATTGAAATTACTACTCGTCAACTAAAAAGAGGCTTCTGTTATTTTTTCTGTTCTATAATTTTCCAGATACAAAGAAATGACTGTGCTATGGCGAATTTTCTTACAACAGCTCGCCTAAAAGCTCGTGTAATTTTGAGCGAATAATTTCCAGTTATCACTCTTTGTGGAAATCCGTTTATTTTTGTCTCCACGTAATTCCATATTGCCTTAAAGCATGTTTGTATTTGAATACATTGACTTGAAATTTTTACTAAGCTTCGTGCTAATTTCTGACGAACCCCCATTAAGTGGCCACCTTTCATTTCCTCGTGAGTGTCCTCTTTAAGTAAACTTTGAGCTTTTATCAGTGGTCACATTTTATTTCGGACTGTTATCTCTCATTGCTTTTTCCAAAACCAAATCAAAACTACGTGTATTAAATTCTGGGTGGGCGATTATCAGGGGTAAGGACAATAGAAAACCCTTATTCGGCACGACCAAAAGTTGGTTGTGGGACCTTATTTATGGTATTTTGCTGATAACAATTTCGGGACTTTGATAACTAACCGCTTAACACGGATTAGCCGCTTAGCAGGAGGCCGCTTTAACCAAAAATGTATGAAATCCTTCATCGAGCCAAATTTTGCTCGTTAGAGACTAAGAATGGTCAATTGGACCGATCTATTGCGAAAAAGAAAGTTTTAGAGAAAATTTGTGCTTTTCTTTAAAGAAGTTCCTGCTGAGTATTTCTTTTTTCCATTTTTTCTTGAAATAACAAAATTACCACCTGTCTCGCCGTCAATTTAGCAATTTAGTCTTTGAAAAGTTGGCCTGAGAAATTACAAAATTTCATTCAAAATATAATTGCCTGAGTGCACCTCGATATAAATATTTGGACAAGCTATCGATCTTTCAAAGCAAAATATTGTCTTACGATCGCACGGTTAGCAGAAAGGCTTACGCTTCAAAAGTCCATCCAAGATGAACCTTACTTGCAACAACTCCTGGGCCAGCATTAGAGCAAATTTTTCAAACGAGTTCAATCAGAGTGTATCTGCTAATTTGCCAGCTTGCTCTGAAACCGCTGGACAGAGTCCATCAGTGATCGACCCATTAGAGGATTTTTACAAAGCCGCTTTCGGTTCCTCCATCTTCATCTACGTGGTTTCGTTTATCACAATCTTAGCCAATAGTCTTCTGCTTCTCATTTTCTGCGTCGATCCACTGAAAATCTTCCGCAATCCAACCACGTATTTCCTGATCGGTTTGGCCATTGTCGACTTATTAACAGCGCTGGTTCAAGAACCCATCTACGCCACTTGTTTCATGTTCGTTTACTTTCAACATCCTTTGAGGAAGAAATGCCAACCTCTCGCGAATGCTGGAAGGCGTCTCGGCGCTTTTGCTATGACGGCATCCTTTCTAATCGTCTTCGCCTTTACCGTAACGCAGTACATCGTGGTTTCATCTCCTCTAAAGTACGGCCGTCTGGTCACAAAGAGGAAAGTCTTATTTAGTATTGCGGTCATCTATCTTTACTCAGCAATCTTCTGGTGCCTTCACTTGATGGGTGTGTCTCCAAATGTTCAGAATATTATGGATTCCTTTATACACGACTATCTCTTAGTCTTTATCACCATTGCTTTCTATATACTCCTACATCGTGCGATGAAAAAGAAGATGACCGCAGGAAAATCCCTTCAAAGCCAAACTGGAAAACGCGACAATAGCAAACATGTCCGAGTGCAACGCAACTTTGTCCGTGTGAATTTCATGCTTCTTGCCGTGCTGATTATGTGTAACATGCCATCAGCTGTCATGTGGACGGTGAAACTGTTCATGGTAGACCAAAATGCTACTCCCGTGAAGACCCTGATTGCAAACTTGATGGTAGATAACCTGCTTTACCTGAAATTCCTGTTGGACCCGTTTGTCTACGCGTGGCGCGTGCCAAAGTACCGTACATCCCTTAGCAAGATTGTTTGTTGTAAAAACACAGGCAAGGAATCAAATCGAAATGGAAATGGAAGCGAAAGCAAGTTATCAGCCAGAAAAAGTCTCGACGGCGAGCTATCGACAGTGGAACTGAACAAATCAGTGATAACTTTACTGAGTTTTAAGACTATGTTGGATTCCTCAGTTATCGTCAAGTAAATGGTTGTTGTGTAACGACGGGAAATGATCGCCTGCATAAATGCCCCCCCCGGGGGGGGGGGTACACCCAGAGGAAATGGGTAGGGACGTGAGGCCCGCCTCCTGAAAGCCTTACCTTATTTAAGACCGAAATCTGTGATTTTCCCTAGCCTATTTACGACCTGACCAAAGATTCGATACTCTATTTGAGACCTGACCCTTAAATCAATACCGTTTCAGACCTGCGTATTAGTTTACTAGTTCAAACAGATGTTAAAGGCAATGTTTTGTACATAAATTATATGTATTTATTCGATAGGATAGCTTCCTCTAAAAACATACCCAATTCAAGTCTAGATTGCAAAAGCCATACCCTATTTATGGCCAAAACGACTAAAAAACCATACCCTAATGTAGTTATAATGTACGAGTGAACGTTTACTTAGAAGGATAACCTTGGACCAGACACTCGTTTACACGAGGCATGTTTTTTTCTCTTTTTGGTAACGTTGTTTGCAGCCGATGATATACTCAAAATTAGTGATTTGTGAGAGCCTCAGTATACGTAGGCGCATGCTCGTCCCCAGAGCCTCCGTTCGTTTTGGTCACGTGGTCGGCGTATTTTATTACGAGTTGCACTGGGCACTAGAATGACGTGAGCCTGTACCATTTAACAAATAACTAAGCCTAAGCCGTGTATTACACTGTGATAAAACACGACGGGCATTTGAGAACACGAGGGAAATGCAGTAAACACGAGCCACAGGCGAGTGTTTTCTACCGATTTCTCGAGTGTTCTAAAACGTCCGGAGTGTTTGATCAAAGTGTAATACACGGCTTAGGCTTCTTCATTTCCTTTATAATATAAAGGTGAAACCAACAGACCAGGGAAGTATTATTAGAAAAGCCTTTAAAAAAGACTAGGCAAGGATTGGTAAGAATGGTTAGTACTAAACTGACACGCTTTTTAATTAAAAAAACAACAACAATAACAAAAGGAAAAAGGAAAACGTAATTTCATTTGAAAAACAGCTCGACTCAATTTCCCGGGAACAGTTCCAAAGTTATAAAACGCATGTTTTATTGAGTTCATTACTTCATAACTTATCTAACATTCTTACATACAAAATATTTCTTCACAATGTCTTTTTTCTTTGAAATCTCTAGATTATTTAACACCATTTCGGTCATTTCTCGAAAGTGGTTTACTCTAACTACACGGAAAATAATCAAATTTTGGTATCACTCCGAACTATACGACCACCCTAAACAGTGATTTCTTCAATGGATTAATACGAGAAAACGGAAAGTGAGAAAGCGAGATCATGGGTACTTACCATTTAGCCAAAACTCCGAAAATTTCGGTTAAAAGTCAAATGGAACATTAAATTTTACGGAAAATCCGTTCGGGAATTAAAGACTACCTCCACAGGTAGTTCTCTTTTTTCGTTCGGAACGGAACGGCGGAAATTTCCTTACCATTTCCTAAATTTTCCAGTTTCCAGTCTCTCAGCAGCCTAAAAAAATTACGGGAAATCCTATTGTAAATTGTAAGCGCCATCTCGTTCGGTTGGTTCGCTGATTTTGGAGAAACTCTTACCGTTATTCAACGGGCACCCCAACCGATTTATTTTGACAAATGATAAGCACCTGAAAAGTATACAGTTCTCAGAATTGAAACGGAGACGGTTCTTCCACGGGTAAAAGTTCTATTAGTTTTGACACGCTTAACTTAAATGACCAAGAAATCGTTTTACAATTCCATGCTACTCTCAATCGACGCGTAACAAAATTAAAACGTGCGAAAATCGGCTGGATCGAAAGTCTGCAATTCGATCGTGCCAATTTCCTCCCGTTTACATTTGGTCTTGCCCAAACAACGGCACAAATCGGACACAAAATATGGAGCCCTTCTAAAAAGGGCGGCTACAATATTATAGCAAACGAACTAAAACAGTTGTCGATACATTTTGGACAACGAGGAAGATTGCATCTCCAGCCTCCATCAACATAAAACTTCACCCTGCTATCATCTCATGCTTTCTTCAAATTCACTAGAGGTTGATTATTTGTATTTTGGTCGACGTTTTCCAGCGACAATCGAGAGGCTAATTCTGATAACTTGCCTCTGAAACTTTTTAGTAAAAATGTTCCGAGAGATTAGGTTTTGATCTCCAAATTACAGTCAACAGGATAGGAATCTGGTTGAACAAGTCAAAAGTATGGCAAAAATCGTTTTGTTTCGTCTGCACACTAGGACCCNCCCCCAAAAAAAAATCATAAATATATAATACTACTAATAAAACTTACAATGAAAAATCAATACTTTTAGGGAAGTTGCCAATTTTATACCAGAAACGTATGTCTACCTAAAAAATTACATATTTACAGCACCATTAGAATTCAACTTTGGATTATTTTTCAAAATTAAAATGGTTTCCTGCTTTCGTTCCTTCCCTGCACAATACAAATTTACGAATAACATTATAAAACAGGACAATCCCTTCCACCCCACCCCAGCCCCTCCCGTCCTACCCCTACTCCCCCAACCACACTCCCCAACAACAAATCTGCATTGTCCTGGATTTCTTTGGGACAAGAGCCCAGGCTCACCCTGAGAAAAAATCTGAACTGGTACTGGCTTCTTGGTAACAAAACTCCCACCCCACCCCACCCTGACAATAAATCTGAACTAGTCTCTGCATCTTTGTAACAAAAACCCACCCCACCCTATGAGATCTAAGATTTTAGGTTACTTTTCACTTTACAACCCATCTCATGCCCCCTTCCAATACTCTCAAAAGGCAGTATCATCCCCCACGGAGCCCCTACTCTTCCCGGGATCCTCCCCTCCTCCACTAGCCCGGTGACTCCGCACGACCTGTGCGGCCTGTAAAGAAGCTAACAAGTCATCGGAATTCTTACGGAAGGGGGGTGCCGGGTTGCTTTTCTTGGGTTTAGGTAAAACCGCTGGGGGAATTTTCGCCCCGGTGGTTGTCCGGGGACTGTCTGGGGGAGTGGGATTTGCCGGGGAATTAGCTTCAACCCTCGGCTGCCATACACCTTCGCTTGATTTACGATGTTCTTCCTTAGTAGGAGTTCTTCCTTTTTCGTCTTTTTCCGGTGTCTCTGCTTGCTTGTTTGTCGCCTCAGCATTTTCTGCTTTCGCCTGGTTCGGCGGCTGTGATTTCCTGGAAGGCGAGATGCTCCGAAGACGCGGCAGTTTTATAGTCTGTTCTTTATCGGGTGTCTTTTCAACAGAGCTTTCGCTATCTTCTCTCGGAGCCTTGCGCAACAGCGTCAACTGTCGCTTCACGATATCCTCCGAGGAGATCGCCGGCGGTGCTGCTGCTGATGCCGCTGGAGGTACCGTCTTCTTAAACAAAGACGTTCCCGAAAAAGGCGCCTGGGGACTCGATCCTAAGGGGCTCGCTGGATCAGAAGTAGGCGAAGGAACACCATCCCTCCCCCTGAGAGAGCCCTCTCTCTTAGGGATCCTTGGAGGCACATTAAAGTCCTTTGGTCTGTCCGCTCCACTGGATGAAACTTTCGGAGAAGGTGACAACAGCTCACCGGATGAGGAAATGTTTCCTTCACCGTCAGTTATTTCAACCTCATCGTCAGTCGGTAGACGGATGTACGTAGCAGGAACAAAGCCGTCCGTTCCATTGATAGTTCCGTCCCACCAGTCATTGTTAAACCGTTTAAATACTCGGATAATGTCGCCCTTTTTGAAGGAAAGCTCTTTCGATGACCGGGCTGAGTAGTCAAACAGTGCTTCGGCATCTCTTGGTTCAAAGTCTGGAAATTGATCATATCACAATTTTAAGTCACGGACGAGAAATATTTATAGATCTTGGACTGAACTAGGGTCAAGCCCGTATTTTAAAAGTGTTATGTTTGCCAGTTTTAATTACAAGATAATATATTATCTTTCTCACTAACCGGAATCAACAAACCATCCCTTAGTTGAGCAGGCCTGGTCGCTGTCGAAAACTACAAGATGGGCGCGATTGTCAAGTTGTGCTTTCAAAAGCATGAATTGGGAACTAATAGGCCATCTTCGTATTCTCGGTACTGGACTGGAACTAGCTTGCAATGGAGGCTCATTCGTGGGGAATATCATCAAAAACAGATGAATCTCATTTGCATTAGACAAGAACCCGCATTAAATTCAGTTTCAAGCAAGTTCCAGTCCAAAGCCAAGAATACGAAAATGGTCAACCATACTCTGACATTTTTGTTTTTCATATCTTTTTTCAATAGCGATATTTCAATCTGCTATACCTTCCTCGCTGTCGCTATCCTCAGTTTCAGAGAGTGGAGCATGTGGCGGCTCCCCTGAGCCAGGGAATACCTCAGCACAGTACTTGATCAAGAGCTCCATCATACCATTGACTTGGCTCTGATAAGCTATCATGTCTTGTTCAGAAGGGATCCGTAATAACGTCGGACCAAATACTACAGCCAGGTTGTGAGCATCCATTTTGTTGGAATCGCTGTGTTCTGCAACCCTGCACAGACCAACGTAAGCCGGTAAATAAATCACTTATTATCAAATCTTCGTCTGTAGTGTGTAGATTTGGAGAGTGTTTCTTTCGTCATTTATACACTTATTTCGCCTGTTCCTAATAGCTCTCCAAAATACTTCAAAAACATGTAAATAATAATTAATAATACTAATACTAATACTAAAACTAACACCAACACCAACACCAACACCAACACTAACACTAACACTAATACTAATACTAATAATAATGACAATAATAATAATAATAATAATAACAATAATAATAATAATAATAATAATAATAATATAATAAATTAACATTTTAATGGGAGGCCTCCAATCACCTAGAGGTGTTTTTCAGGAGGGTCCTCTAAGAAATATAAGTCTAGAATATGCATTAAATGTCTAAAATACAGAAGTAATAACAGCTGAAAACTTAGACTAACCCCACAATACAATGAAACTCAGAGAACCTGGTGAAAACCCAGAGACTATTGAAAGCAAGGCCAAGGCGAACGGAAAAAAAAAATTAAATTCTTAACATTGCTTCAAAAAGCAACTACAACAAAGTTACGTGCTACACGAAAATAGAGGAAGGTCCAGTGACTCGCCAGGACAAACTGGAGAAGTTACACTAGAGAGTGTGAGGGGTTCGCATGATGGACCAGTTATCCCGGCCATCCAGGGTGGACGAGAAGGGGTTAGAAAACCACCTACGGTCACTTCATACTACAGAACACAGAGTAGAGGTGCTGGTAGCTAGACTTTCACTTTATTAAACCTGACTAAGAAGCTGCACTTACGATACTTACAAATTCAGGAAAGAGAAAAGGTACTCCATAACGCGAACAACTGACTCAGGCAAGGAATTCAAGACAGTCGTTAATTCCTTCATACTGTCTTCTACTGAAGAAGACACTGATGAAACAATGTAATGGATTAGTAAAATAACATTGCTTTACAGGAGAGAATGTTTTGAAGCATATCCAACCCTAATTACTTAGGAACCTTGATTTAGAGTATTTTCCCGCGCTTGAGAACGGTTGCATGCTCTAATTAGCCGTACATTTTCCCGCGTTTGGCATTGATTTTTTAAGATTTCCCGCCGTTAGCAGTGGTTGTATCACTTCCCGCGCTTTGCACTGGCTCCACGTTTTCCCGCGCTTTTCACTGTTAGTTACGTTTTGCCACGCTTAGAAGCAGAAGTAAAGCTTTCACTGGGTTTTGATTGGTTCATTTCGTACTATGACTATTACTATGATTACGAAAGTTTGGTGACCAGGGGCCCGTTTCTCGAAAGCCCCGTAAACTTTTCTGTTTTAGATACAGATGGACTAAAAATGGCTTTACGGGTCCGAAACGTTTCCGGGGCTTTCGAGAAACACGCGCCAGGCTTTAACGTTCAACTTGTGTTGTTGTCACGGGCAACTGGCTTCGTTTCCAGTGGCAACTTGTCGGCCTTTGACATCATTGACCGAAAAGCGCGCGAAATTGCATGCGACAATAATACCACCACTGGAAACGAGGAAAGTTGCGTGTGGCAACACCGTAATTTCAAGTCCAAAACTTCGTCACCAAAGCTCCGTCGCGCCTTACCCAACTGATAATCGTAGCAACGCAATTTCTTTGTTTTGGTTTGAGACCTGGTCTTAAAAGCATACGCTATGTACATGTACAGGTAACACAATGTGTTACTTACAACTCGCTTTGATGAACTCTTGATAATGTGAACTAGGGAAGAGCGGGTCCTCCAGTTCTCTGAAGTAGACCCTCAGCAATCCAGCAACAGCGTTGATATCTTTCCAGTGATTCAGACCTGCTAACGGATCACGACCTAAAGAAAATATTACTCTTTGAGCTAAGAGGTAATAAATGCAGATTAGCCACCTATTGAAAAAGCTAAACGGCGATATTTCAAGTCATTTCAGTCCCTGATGTTGCAAATTGAAAGATACCTCATCATGAGTATTTTCCAAGGTTGAACAACACCAAAAAATTTGAGAGTTTTTAAATGTCACTCTTTGTGAAATCATTAATTTCATTCGCAGTCATATGATTACCGACAGACGAACTGTCGCCTTTAGATCAACTAAACCTCTCCTGACTAATATTTACCATTTTCAAACAGCTGTTTCATGTCGTTTATTTCCGTTGTGGATCCAGATAGTCGAAATATTCCCTGGTGATCTAGACCTGAAAATAATTAATCATACATAACCGACATCAACAAGAGGCTTTATCGGTTGGGAAAGTGGTAATATATCAAACACGACAGACCGTGTTTGACCAGATTTCCAAACACCGAGAAGAGAGTTGAAAATACGACGAGTAGCGGAGTATTTTTCACGAACTATGAGGTGTTTGGAAATGAGGTCAAACACTAAAACTAAGGAGAAAACGGAGAAAAAAACCGTAAAATCCATGCAAATTACGATCAGATATCCAGACACCGTCACGTTCATGATTTCCTTTGTTTAAACTTGATGCATTTTTGAGTTTGAGAAAAAAATATCAGTGACGTACTCTTACTTTCCCAGCAAAATTCAAAAGTAAGTAACAACCAATCAGGACACGATACGTCATCAGTATGGACTTAAACATTCGCGTTCAATCTCCGACGTTTTTCTCGGAAGGGAGGGGGTGGCGACTCGGCCTATACAGTAAAAGCCATACAACCCGTATACAACTGGTCTATGAAGTGACAGTTCTACAGAAACGAAAATGATTTTGCTCTACCAGAATTCAGACAAACGACACATGAATGGCCTCAAAGAGTTGTAAGCTAACGCCAAGTTTCCCATCCGTATACGTGTATAACCACTGACTTCACTTTGACCAAAAAACAAAAACAAAAACAAAAACAAAAACAAAAAATACAAAAATCACATATGTAAAATATTAAAATAATGCACTTACCAAACTTTTTAATAAACTTGACACAACTTTCTACTACTTCAGGAATTTCTCTTCCTGTAATCTGTAAATAAAAACACATTTTGACTACAGTACTTACATGTAACTTCGGTGGACTGCAGTATTAATAAATACAGTATGTAACACTGAATATTAATTGCTTGTCTGGTGTGATAACCCTGGGTTTAAATCATTCACACTGTCTAGTGACCAAATAAAAATAAATAAATATTAAATAAATAATTACGATAAATATTAATTGACCCCTCCCTCAATGGAGCCTTTCAGAGCCAACGGAAACAAACCACAAAACAATTAATGTCAATGAACATAACCTGGTTAAAAATTCCAACTGGCAGGAGGCAGACAGTTTTTTTATAAGCTTAGTCGAGGTGTTGTGCTAAGGTCTACCGAGAACAACACCAGGTAGTGGAGTGGTCAATTAAGGTAAGGTCAGAACAGGGCTTGAATCCTTCACCTCTGGATTTCAAGTCCAGCCCTAACCACTCGGCCACACTGTCTCCTCATTCATGAGCACCTTAACATACATATAAATAAATAAAAAAATGTAAACTTACGCTAACATAATTTTCTAAATTGCAACCAAACACTTTGGTTTTCTTGTGCACAGATTCCAGGATAGCTGAAGCTTCCTTGGAAGACATGTCCAAATGAGGCCTTTTAAACCTAGAAGAGAGAGAGTCTCCATAAATATATTTATTCCTTAAAGGAGCTCAGTCACGGTTTGCACATTTTGAAAAGTTTAGCCTAAATTTTTCAAGTTCGTCGTTTGCAATCCGTCTCAATCTTCGCCATCCTTGACCATCCTTGTTCCTTTATGGTTTATTACTATCTCTTTGATGTTTTTCTATCTTAAATGCACATTTTTAATTATTAAGATTAGTACAGATCATTTTGGCGAATTGTACAGCGCCTAGAGCAGGCATGGATAGGCGCTATATAAATATTTATTTATTATTATTATTATTATTATTATTATTATTATTATTATTATTTTCAGGTTTCCTTCCATTTAAAGGAAATTTTGTACGTGTTACAACCTGAGTTCATCTACAAAAACTCTGTAGAAAATAAAGTTTGAATCTTCAGCACTTCCTCACACAGGAAACAAAATTATAATAAATTAACAAAACAAATATTATTTCACTATAATAAATATTTATTTTCGTGGTACCTGGCTCCAACTATGTCTGGCGTTACTTCTCCTATAAAGTAAGAAAAGGAATTTATTAAGTAAACTTAATTTTTTTTTTTTTTCCTAATGAATACCAAACTACCATTTTAAGGGTAAGTTTCTATTACACTTAGTCACCTACATATCAATTAAGGTAAGCACAGTAGGCTTGAAGCAGCTCAAGTAGCTACTGTTTGCCACACAAAGTAGCAGTGCCAGTCGGAGCAGGGGGTGGGGAGGGGGGAGGGGGGTATGCCGTGGTCTAACAAAGGAAATTTAGAAGGTATCGACAGTGATTACCGAGCAAAATGTAAATGGTGTACATGTATCTGAAACTGAAAACTCATCTCATTGTAGTATATTTTTTTCAAAATAATAATGATACATGTAATGATAATGATAATGATAATGATAATGATAATAATATTAATAATAAATAGGCAATTAGGGAGAATCTGTGAAACTGATCCAGCTTACAAGTCTTCAAAATATGGTTTACACAGTAAATTTTGGAACTTAGACAATGGCCAAAAGTACAACTATTCGCCCTTCAACCCTCAAGATTAATCAGCGTCAAAATCAATACGATGTAAAGAATGAAAGTGAACAGAATATTGTCATGATGCACCTTTACATTCCCACAACATGTCCCCTAGTGTGTACTGACCTTTAGGTTTGAGACAAAAGCATAGCAACCATAAAAGAGATTGGCATGTCAAGGTTCACAGTGCTACTAACCTAGTGTTTTAGTCAGCTTGTCATTCTCAGCTTCCATTCTGACTTTCAAGCTACTAGTAAGAATAAGTTCTCTCATTTTCTGGAAGCAAAATGTTAACATACCATGAATAACATCTAAGCAAATTGGCACAGAGCAACAACACACACACACAACAAACAGTTAGATTTACATTACATATATGAACTTCCATACCGCAATATAATACATTTCTAAGTCTTCGCTGCTGTTTTTGATCGACTGACAGCTTGCTGTTCCATTGACAGAGTCTACTTCACCGTTGGCCAGTCTCATCATCTCATTGTCCCACTGCCTGTGCATTTCACTAAGTGCATCACACGTGGCCTCTGCTGTCTTTTCAATCTATTGACATTAACAAAAAAATACAAGGTATACAGTTTATTTAAACAATCATGTTTGATGTAGATACCATATAGTCAGTAGAAACCATGTGATTTGAAAAAAATTGTCAACCTGTCATCTAAAGCTCTATTCAGAAGTTAATTCTTTAGCACACTTACATACAGCACTATAAATAACATTTTTAATTGCATGTGATCCTCTCTTTGCCTCTAGCTGGACTTTTTTCTCAATAGTCCCTAGTTCAAGTTCTCAGCCATACGTGGTAAATATTAGACAAATTGGTAGCCTCTTGCTAGACAGATTCTTACACAAGTTTATGTTTCTGTTTGTTGGCACTAACCTCTTCTGTTTCTGCCTTGATTTTTTGAAGTCTCTCATACACTTTATAATGGTGTTCTATTACATCTGTCTGTTGAGGTGACACCTGATTCAACTGTAAATAAAAATAAACAAAAACTCAGCAGCCATGCAAATCCATTGGCACAAAAAAGGTGATTAACATATAGAAAAGAGTTCAACTCCCACAGGATTGGTTTAGGGTATCAACATGGCTGCTATTTTACTGTTTTGGGACACCAATAAGGCTGCCATGACATTCTGTGAAACACTCTATTTGTACATGTAGTTTCTGTAGAAAAACACTAGAGGGATAAATTCATTCTCCCCCTCTTGTACTAGTATAGTATATTCCACTGCATAAAGGTTCAATGTAAGTACTGCAGGCTCCTACCTCTTCATCACTGTAAGGCAAGTAAGCAAAAGTAAACGGCCGGGTTACTGTTCCTTGATTGTCATCAAAGAAGTACTGCTTGTCTTTATCAGCTTCAACGGTGAGCTTAGCTTCACGCAAACTATCAGCAGATTGAATGGTTGCACTGGCAAGGTTAGCCTCTGCTGTCACATAGGCTTCAACACCTCGCTTGAATGACTCATGGTAATTACAGTCAAATCCCTACATGTACACGTAATAATAATTGCACATATTTAGAACATAGCAACATACACGTAAGAAAAATAAAAGTGGTATTAATATTATTATGATTACTCGTCTGGTACTTCATTATAGTTATCACAATATTATAAGCAAACTTAGAGATATTGTCTTAAAATGACCAACAAATTGACGATTTGCATGATGGCGTCATTTGACTACAAGGACCAGACTCCCCCACTTTTCCTTTTTTCTCATGCTAATTAGGACAACTGTTACATGTATGTCGTGGTTCAATGTTACCCTTTATACAATTTGGTGTTTTCCAACAATTACAGTGATCCAAACCCTACTGTGGTTAAAAATTTGAAAAGTAAGGGAGAAACAAAATGATTTCTGGTAACTGTAGTCAGATGATGTTTTTGTGCAATTGTCCTATTCACAGAAAGTACACACAATGTATGTACATGTACATTAAAAGTTTTGACAACCAGTTTCAGGTTGGTCAGTTTTTACACCTTAAGCTTACAAACACATGAAGGGCTAAATGCTATATGCAATAAATGGTTGAAGTTGTCCTTTAGTAGCATTTTGGAATAGATACATGTAGATATATTGATTCAACTGAATATTTTCTTTCATTCCCTGATGATGCTGTAGAACGGCAAAAGCTTGGAATTAAAATACAGTAGCTCAAGGCCTCAATTGAATTGATATATCTAACTATATGCAATATTATCTATTGCTACATGTAGCTTACATTCTTTCTTTTTACAAAACACATGGATAATGATACATGTATGGCAATACTTACATCCACCAATGTGCTAAGGAATCTATTGTAATAATTTTCCAAGAAGCGGTTTGTTGACTCCAGGGATAAAACATAATCATTCTTTGCTTTCACACACCTCTTCTTGCATTCTGTAAATTTTTGTTGATGCTACACATAAAAAAGAAAAAATCAAATTGATTCCTAAAGAATTAATCATCTAACATGTAAATTGCACACTATCATATAAACTTGAAATTAAAGCAATTCAATACCTTTTCTACTTGTTTGGCCATTTTTTCATTCTTTCGCCGGGAATCTTCTGTCTTTTGAAGTTTCTGCTCAGCAGTTTTGCTCTCTACAGCCATACTATGATAGCGATGGAGTTTCTACAATGAGCATGATTACAAACAAACATCAGTGAAGATGTTCTACAGATTACTGCACCTTTCAATGGCATGTGAACTCTGCCCAATTAATGGTTTCATGTTTTGTTACCTAACTGTTAACCATCTTGGCAGAAATCTCAGGAAACAGAGGTTTACAAGTACCTCAACGGATTGAAAAGGTTGTGCCTGTGGGTTGTAATTGGTAGATTTTGTCCATTTTGTTTGTCTCTTTTTTTTTCCAGGTTTGTTTCATTTTCATTGTAATTATCATTGTGCACAAGGGTATGTACATGTAGTTTACAGAACTTAATTTCCAAAAAAAAGAGAAAACACTATTCACCCAAAACACCTTTAAATAACAGGCCAAAGTTGACCTAAATTCCAGCTAAACTAAAAGTCTTCCAACTTATATAAAAGCTCTATATTAGTCAAAATTCTAAACAACAACTACAGTAATCACCCTGTTAAGTTCTTGAACTGACTTGAGGAGTTCGTCTTGTAGGGTAGTAGCAGTCTCTCTGCACTGCACAAAAAAAAACAAATATCAGCCACTAGTAGACAAGTGTACATACATGTACCGTGAATCCTTGAATCCTTGTACTAAAATTATTTCCAATTGATACATTGTACACTCACAGTAGAATCCTGATTTTTCAAACTTCCAAATATTGGGTTGAAAATTGGCTAGTTCCAAAAATCGGGTGTAAAATTACAGTGACTCAGGGGAGGGAAACAACTTTTACATGTAGTCTGCATTATCAAGAGGTTTGAAAAATCGACGGATCAAGAAACCCAATTCCACTGTACATATACAATGCTGCCCAAGTCTTAAAGGTAAAGGTAAAGGTACATGTAAACTTTATTCAGCCAGGGTGGCCCATTCAGCGACGAGGCTGATATCCAGAGGGGCCCTGGACTAAAAGTATAATAATTAAAAATACAAGACATCGTGATAACGTTTTGGGACATTAATAAAGCTTTTGCAGTTCAAATCTGTCCATAATCTGTGGCTTGCAAATTAATTTCAACTTACAATGTTTCCCTTACTCTCCTTGACAATGCTGGATTTCAAGAAAAATGTAGTAAAGTTATGGTCACATATAACTATTGCTGGGTACTGTGATTACTGTACATATGGCCTTAGGTGTCCTGCAGGGCACAATGAGGAATGAGACTGTGATTACATGGGGAACCAAATGGGTTTCAAAAGCACTCAGTCAGGCCTGGTTCACACTGGCGACATAATGACATAAAAGACATAACAACATACAGTAATCCCTTACAAGTGCCCTTACTGTACGTCGGTAACATGAACATTGACATAAATTAAGAAATAAGGAAAAGATCAGCTTTTTTTTCCTTGTGTCATAATGTTCATGCTGTTATAAAGTTGCTTTTAAATGCCATTATATCGGGATGTTCACACTGCAATCGTAATGACATAACATCCTTCTTATGTCATTATGTTCATGTCGCCATGTTGCTAGTGTGAACAAGGCTTTAAAAGAGTGCCCGTACTTCACCGGATGGGATACATTGTGTAGTTACCTTTTTGGATATTCTTTGACAGTCGTCGCTTATAATCATAAATCTATTCACAATGTTGTTGGAAACATTGTCACTAAGGCCAAGGTGCATCTTAGATTTGTTCTTTGTTTCAATGAGGACTTGCTGCCATAAATCCATAGTGGTTCCCTTCTCCTTCCTGAATAAAAAAATATATATATATCAAAACAAAACTTCATCAGAAAATCTTCAAGAATTAACAAATTGATGTCAGCTTTTCAGGTGTCTGCCCTGTTATTGATATCATGAATTTCATCAGAGTATTGTCAAAGTACAGTGTAGCTGTGGATCCACGACGTGATATTGTTGTTTCACAAAAACAAATTGTCGAATTTTGTCCGCTCTTGCTCGTTGCGTCAACATCGCATCACATACAAATTCATGTGTCTGTCTACTTATTGACAACGAAAATTAGCCAAAGAGTGCGTGAGAATTTCTGCAATTAACACAAAAAATAATAATTATATGTATTAAGTTTACTATAGACCTTCAAGGGCCTATTTTGTCCAAAAATATTTTTTACACCAAATTTAAGATGTTTACTTTATCTGAATTTTCCAAAACAAATATTTCAAAAACATAAAACACGAATGAGCTATCCACAAAAATGTAAATTCTTACAACAAGTCAATGAACCGCAAACTGTGATAAGCCAATTAAAATGTGTCAACCTTTAAGTTGAGCAGTAACAATTTTTGCGGCAACTGATCTCATTGGCAGAGTCGTATTTCGCTTCTTTTGCTTATCCTTTACGTCTTGCAATTTCTCGCAGAGATATCTTCGCTTTTGTTGATTATTTTCATCTCTTAAGTNTGATCTCATTGGCAGAGTCGTATTTCGCTTCTTTTGCTTATCCTTTACGTCTTGCAATTTCTCGCAGAGATATCTTCGCTTTTGTTGATTATTTTCATCTCTTAAGTGATAGACTAGGCGTTTCGCATTCCCACATTTGAACCCAAGAGCAAAATTGCAAGCGAATGTTTCATCGATGCCCTGCTCTAGCTTCTTCTGGTACAAAAGTTGATTGCAGTGGAATTACCGACGAATTTAATCGCTGATATCTGACAAGGCAGCTCCTCCAAACTCTCCTTTCTCCTGCTTTACAGAGTGTTTTTCCATATTCTACTAAAACAAACAGGCCGATGAATTGCGCATTTAGTTTTTTCTTTTTTTTTTAAATGTTTAAATATCTGCACTTGACTCGGCTCGCCGAGTAGGCCTGTTCAAGGCTCTTCTGCTAGCATTCCTCTTTTCCCCTTTTCCTTCTTTACCATTATTTTACCTGCTGATTCCATTTAGATGCTGAATGTTTCATGGCAGACGATGTAAGATATAAAGATATACTGTAGATGTAAACATTGCACATTCATTCCCAGGAAACATTACTGTAGCCCTCCGGGGAGTTCAAAGCTGCGTTTCATTGGTTGGCAGCATGGCCGCGTTGACAACCGCTTCAGTGAGGTACAAAAAATGTGAATTTCTTTCAAGGCCGAAAACTCAAGGTTCATTTTTGCGTGAATTACCTCTATTCAAATGAATTAATAGGGTATGTAGATTTATTGGATTTTAACGAAACTTGGCCGAAATGTTCATCAGATATTAGCGCACCAAAGGGTGTGAGGCTTTTGCGAAAATCAAAATATTTTTCCTTTGACGTCCCATTGATTAACAGCAGTCAGAAAATTTTCTATTGTCCAACTTTGAAAGAGATTTTCTAAGCAACCAATAGAAATATCGAAAAAGCCTCACACCCTTTGTTAGCCCATCATCTCCTGATTGATAATGTCCAGTCAGTTTGGATGTCCGCAGTAACACAAAGGCTGGTAATTCAGTTTACATGTAGCAAGTGTGGTCATTCTAATTTGCGTTTTTAGGCTTGCACATGCCTATGAAAACAAAAATAGCAAAATATATTGTTATTTTCGGATTCTACAGTTTATTAGCTTTACCATGATATATAGTTTGCCGTGGTTTTCTTTAAATCAGCACGTAAAGAAAGCATTTTCCGGAAGGCACCCCTGAAGGTCTACAGTACATGTAACCTTAACTACATGATATGAGTACAGGCATTTTTAATGTACATGTACCTTTGGGTTTTGTGCCTTTGGAGCTTGTCCAAATACATTCTTGAAAGTCTTTCTAAGTTTCTAGAGTAGTCCAGTTCAATCTCTGACAGCCTTCTAAAAAACTCCTGCAAATCAGCCAGAAAAAGAATCTTTCCTTCTGTTCTACTATCAAAGCATTTCAGTTGTTCAATCACGATCTGGCGCACCTCTGAAAGAAAATAACAGTTATACTATAAGTAAAGCAACTTAAGGTTGGCACATGTCCCTAAGGGGCATGTTGTGGGGACATAAAGTGGGGACAAGCTCCTTCAATAACGCATAGGACACATGTTCCAAGGATAGTATGTAAGTTGGTGCACACAAAGCAGATTGAGGCATAAACATGACTGTGTTGTAGCAGAGACAGTTTGCAAAAACTGAAGAGGTCATAAAAAATTTTGTCCCTGCTTCATGACACAAAAGTTCATACCAATTGCAGGGACAAAATTTTGTCCCTGCAACAGAACTTTTTCATGTCACACAAGGAAAACTTGCTGCAACATGTCCTGGCTTCACGTCTCCACAACATGTTCCCTACAAGGAGTGTGTGATGACCTTCAAGCCCAATTAGTTCTTTGTATTTTACTGTTTTCTGCAACATGAACCAGCTTAGGAGCATTGGTAATCTGTCATGCAAGGTTATCCCTCTGTTCTCTCTCTGATTTTTCAACAATTTGTTGGTACCCATTCATAATCTTGGGCAGAGCGAGGCAATGTCAGTAAATTGTTCTGCCCAGCATAGCTGGGAAGCACAGGGTTAGACCAAGCTGATTGATCCAGAGTCCAGCACATCAACTATTAAGCCATTGCACCACTCATTGTAACTGATGTGCATCAATGCTAATTTTTTAAGTAAAATTATACATGTACATACACCTCCAGTTATTTGACGGTTTAACATCTAACATGCATGGATACTTTGGTAGCTGCAAACTTGTATTTTAAAATTAGGAACGAGCAAAATTTCTATGCATATTTTATATGCTCTTAAACCAACAAACACAGAGTTTATTTTTCAACTATCATGTCATTTAGGCCTCTAGTTTTTGAAATACATCACACATCATCAGAAACTTGTACCGATCACATAAGGCAAATGTGAGTGAGTAAAAAAAAAACTGTATGTAGTGCAATTAGGGCTCATAAATGATCTTTTGCACGTTTTCTTGACCTAATATGGTAAAATGGAATAATAAAATAGTTTACATGTATGTGTATTTACGGTCAGATGAATACATTATCAATAATTGGATTCCTAAGAACTTTCCTTTTATCTTTCAGAATAACAAATCAGTTATGTACTGATAATTCCAGGGATTTTCCTGAGTTTAATAATGACAAATGTAATATTTTGGTGAACTTAGTTTGAATAAAATCAGAGCTTCAGCGTTAGTTCTGTTTTGGTAGTAATTTAATCTACGGTCAAGCCAAGCCCTACATTTAAGAAGGAAGTACAAATATAAGATCATCCTAAGAAGACGGAAACTTCCTGTTCTAGCTACTTACTCATGTACACATGTCAAAAGCTGGGCAGAAAAAAGCTAATATTTATCATATTACTGTATAAGTATTGTGTTTTGTTATATTTATGTTCTCAAAGATATTAGCTAATTTTGCTACCAAAAATTCAAGAGTAAATAAAGTACATATAGTTTATACATGTAGGTTCATCTATGTATGTATGTAATGGTACCAGGATTACTTCCAATAATATATGCAGGGCTGCTTCAGGAATTCTGAACATTTTTGTTAAAGAGGAAGATAACACATGTGTATTTCAGCAAGCAGGATTATACCACAGGAAGTGGGTTGCAGTTAGAATAAAGATCAAACAAACAACTGTTATCAGTGAAATCATTAAATGACAATTGTTATGCTTTCAAGAACATGCAATACAGCAATCAGTAGCCCAACTACACCTATAGAATGTGTCAATGTTCAGAGCTAATCCATTGCTTGAAAAAAACAATCTAACTGTCCCATGTGTGTAATGCAGGGTTACAATTGAATAATTCGACATGTGACCACAGATTGAGTTATATTACAAATATCTACCTGCAATAAACAAAACAGTAGTAATTTTCAGGTGGGAAATAACAGCGACACATGTACAATTATAGCAGACTTTTAAAACAATGCCAGCATAAATATGTTATGTGATATACTTGATACTTCCAAGCTTGAGTTCAGTGCTGAAACTAAATACCAATATTGCTTTATAATTTAAGCTTGAAAAACTATGCCATTTGCACGTGAATCATTCATAAAAGGTTACCAATGAAGTAGGTTTATAACACTATACATATGGTTGTGCACAGAAAGATGTGATTATGAAATATCAGTTTGAAAATTAAGTTTGTTAAATAAACTTCACGTGTTTTGTAAAACTTTATAATATTCACCAAAACGCAGCGATTTACATGTAGACAGTTGTCGAGAGTGTGAATGTTCCATTTTGCCACATTTCGTGACCCAAAACACGACAGTATAGAATTTATATTTCTTGATGCTCAGGTTAAACAGGAAAACTCTCAACTTTCTTTTGTAGTGGTCTCCGTTTAGACACGCAATTCTGCTAAAAGCGAATACCTTTACACTAAACTTGCCAATGATGGCTCGAGAAAGCCGGAAATTTTGAATAGCAGTGAATTGAACACAGGTTGCTAAATTCAGAAAGGCTTCAGTAACATTTAAAATTAAGCGTACAATAATTAGAACTCAATAAGTTCTAATATCACGACAAAGTCGAAAAGCCATTATATTCACACAACGACAAAGCAATTTGTCAAACTACAAAAGTAACGAATTTGTGAGCAAGGGTCCAACGAATTTCAATAATGTCATTTGTGAATGCTTTTGTGGCATCTTATGAGATCACTCCGACCAAACTTTCCCTTATCTCGAACGCAGCTCTTCAAAATTTCACAGTAACGTTTCGTTTTGAAGAGTTTTAAATATTTAATGCTTCTAAACACGTTTAAATTGACAAATTTAAAGGAAGACTCTCTACATTTTTGACCACGAGGGAAACTACATGTATTTATTTAAACGAAATTGAAAAGTATAATTTCCACACACTGTAATCGCGTTTCTGGCAAATTTATAGGCACCGGGAAAGCTTGGCACAGCGATTTAAGAGACACAAGGTGTACTTAATTTTTGAAAGCAAAGATTCGTGCCTGAGACTAAACACATCCTTTGATTGTAAGCTATTTAGAGAAGTTTGCTTGTTTTATAGCAACAACGTAAACCCATATTTCTTTACTGATTAAATTTACTCCTACACACAACTTTAATAACACCATTACATTACACTGTAGAATGGAATATCGAGCTTTCGCGACCTTCTACTCGTAAATTTTGCCCTTTCGAAGAAAAGGGAGTTTATCTCGCCACTAAGCAAGAAATAACAAGCCAAATTGCTCAATATTTACCGACCGTCTAGTGGAAGTCAAAGTGCGCGCTCAACAGTTATCGCTTACTAAAACGACAAGAGAACTGCCCCCTCATTCTCAAGAATACTCCTGGCCGGAAGCCGCAACGGCGTATATTTCGATTACTTTCTCGGTATCACCGTGTTTTACATCAACTGTTCATTTATTCTCCGCCTCTAGCAGCGTCGTTTCAAGACAGGACAAAACAAAACTGACCTTTCGATTGAGTGTCGAACTCCAACACAGCCGCCTTGCCCTTCTTCCCACTCGACGTCATTTTCAGCCTCTAAAACGAGTACGCCTCTACGCCATCTTGATACCAGACGATTGTACTTTCACGAGGAAGGAATCTGCCAGCTTTTGGCTGGTTTAAAGATCAAGAAACTCTTTGTTTTGAGACCAAAATTCGCGCAGATAGGAGATCTTGCTGGCCGGAAGGAAACTTCGAACTGCGCTAGCACCCAGGTTCCTTCGACTTGGGGTATCGAAAGCGAGGCCATTATTTCATTTATTTACTATTTTTATTTTTTTCCCTGCCCGGCCGGCTCTCTGTCTGTAATTTTACATCAGACGAACCCGTGAGCCAAAAGAGAAAGGTGCGATTCATATTTCATATTTTTATTGTTTTGCACTATTTTACATATTGTTCACAATCAAAGGCGAGAGAGTTCGAAACAAGAGGACTGGCTTAGCTATGCACGCGGTCAATTTTCCTCTCGCGAGTTTTTTCGCGTCACACAGGATGGACTAAACAAAGAGAGGGGCTGCTCGTGATCTTCTGCCAGCGATATGAAAACTACAAATTAGAGGGGGAGAAGCGTTGCGTAACGACCCTAAAAACGGCTGCGAAGGACTCTGCAAAGTTTGTAATTCTGTAATTCGCTCCCTGTCTCACAGAGGCTCGATTACCAGCCGCTGCTCAGCGGCGGAAATGAAATGTTTCACGTATCTCTATTTTTTACCAGCTAGGTTTATTTTTTCTGTTGTTTGTTCAATTTTTTTCTCAACCAATTCTGTTCAACCTTCTGTGCGTGGCGCCTTGTTATTCTGGAAGATAACCAAAAACGGTATTACTTACCGTATTTTTATAATGTGATGATATTTAGTTAATAATTTCCTTATCACATGATAGCTATAGTCATCTCCGGTTAAAATACGTGCTGTGAAATCTGACCAAATGGGCCATAATTTATTACACAATGAATTTGTTTTGACGATTTTACATTCAGGACAGCACTGAACGGACAAAAAAAGGTAAAATTTAGTTGAGTCATCTGTGTGTGTATTCTTCACACTTTTTTGTTTAATTTACCGATACTTTTGAGAGCTATAGCAAGTCCTGCGCATTGAATACATGCAATTCGTATTAACATGTCTGATCGCCGCCCGCGCTTTTGTATAATAATTTTCTGATCAGGAGATGTTCGCGCCGCGAGATTTAACGAGAAGTATAGCTCAGCCGTAGGTTAAGTTTATGTATGTTCAGGAGAGCTGGAATGATGTTGATATGTTAATTTTTAAGTTGTGTTCGGTGGTGGTGGACGATCAAACTTCCAGGTAAGAAAGCCGGAAAGGAATAAGGTAACGCGTGACATGCGACAAACGTGACGTGAAGCGCGCGTTACACGTGCGTAGAGGGAAGTAAAATGCTTTAATTTTAATACCAAACCTAGGTTTAGTTGTAAGTTATATATTAGACTCTTTCCCAGACGTTATGCGAGTCGTCACACAACGGTTCTTTGCGTAATACTGAAACGAAGGAATCCAAAAAGGAGATGTAATCTCCGATATTTTTTTGAGGAGGGTTTGGGCGAGGGTAACGGGGAGGGATATTCGATTCCCACTCCCCTATATAAGGCTGGTCATTGGCCACACGAACAATGTCCTTGCGATTTTTGGAACAGTTTTCAATGCAAACTATTATATGCGACTCGCCGAGACTTGTATACAATACTTAGTGTTGAAAATATGCAACACGGGTCGAATAATGCAACCATTTGCTTTTTTCTATATGCACTTGTCCATAAACCATAGGCTTGCCACGTTTGCAAACGGCGTTGAATTTTCATGAATATTACCATGGCCTTGCGCATGTAGACGAGACTGAAGTTCGTCTAGCGTGCTCTATTTGGAATTCTTGTTTGAAAAATCAATGGAAAATCTTGGACTGCTGGGTAGGTTGTACCAATTAATTAACTAGTTTAGATTTAAAATTCCGTTTAAAGATTCAAAAGCAATCTTTTCAGTAAAAATAGGCAGGCAAATGGCAGGCAGTATTTGCAGAAGTTATTTGTACCGAAAGGAGGGCATATGTTTCTAACGGGCGTATTTAAGACACGAAATGACGAATTGGCACTACTAGTCACTGCGAGATACGGGTATCTGCTGTACGGGTTAACTTTGACAATTTTTGAGAGCTAACCAGTGCTATTTAGGCTAACCTGAGCGCTATTTGGGCCGAACCAGAGGGCTATTTTATTTAGGCTATTAATTAATTTATTTTTTACTATGCTATTTCGTGCCCGTTTCTGACTTGACCATACCGGGATTATACATAAAGAATACCCGTTTAAAGTGAATTATAATCACTCATTAGATCTGCAGAATTTTTAAATGGCCGATATGTATGCGGTTCAATAGATCCTTGCCAATAATTCACCAGGGAACATTCGCGAGAGTGTAAATAAAAATATGAGGGTGACATATTTTTGCCAATATATTTCAACAAGGTTCACACTTGTAGCGGTTGTAGGGAATGTCCAATTGAATAGAATGACAGTGAGTTGCATATTAAATTATCAGTTTAGTCGGAAGTGCATAGAGGTATTCCGTCTCGCCGATATCTTCGAAGAGCAGTATCAAAATTTTAAAATGTAGCAGTGAATATTAATACAAAGGGAACCAAAAAAAGGAATGGCTAGTGAGAAATGCCTGATTTGGAATACTGCTTAAAGTCGATACCTTTGGATAGCTGACGAATGCAACTGACCTCTGTCCATTTCAACAGAAATTATCCCGGAAATTAGAATTTTGAATTTGTCGGTATAACATTAATGCATGTGATGATTTGCAATTCACGAGACGTCTCTTTTAGCTGTATTGTTTCATACAAGGTTTGCTGCTGTCGTCTTATCCGTCTAAGTATACTTCTCAATTTTTTGGTCCACTTATTCAAAAAGAGAATTATTTTTGGGCTTCCGTTTTCTTTGCGATAAAAAGGAATGCAAAACGGCCCCATGATTTAACTTAGATCAGCAAAACATTCTGGTCGGGATTTTGCTAAGCTTGGCCAAAATTCACGTTGTAAGACTTGAATGCAATTAGAGTTGGTTTTATTTAATACATTTATCCGAAAAAGATTTATACATCAGTAGCCATGCGATTGGTATTTTAAAATTCTCCATGTAAACCGCTTTATTTCGGTAAGACAGAAATCTTCTCTTGTTTTGAATTAGTTTGGCTACCAAGAAGTTCTTGTTACCAAGTTACGCTTCTTGCAGAAAACCATTTTTCTCGCGTTTGATGTCTTCACCTTCCTGTTAACAAAAAGCATCAAGACTATTTCATGACACTTTTGACGTTTTATCTGAAGCGCGATTCATCTACTTTACACGGAAGCTTATAGGCTAGGAATTTATCTTCCACAACGGGAGATATATATCCAAATAAACGATGACGTTTTTTAAAAAATGAAATCTTCCATTATGATACACAGCATGTCGTGATAATGACGACTGCAGTTCCTACATCTCCCAGCATCCTCTTCGAGACGGGCAACTGATTTACTCAGCTGGCCCGAAAACAAAAGACCTTTCGCTAAGTCGCCCGGTGATTGGTTAAAAACTCAATAACACAGGTTATTTTATCCACCTACGAAACCGTCATCAATATTTCAGGTTTGGTGCACTCTAATTTACGTTTTAACTGTGGATTTGAAAGGAGATACCTACAGGACGTAGTAAGTGAATATTTGCGACGTAAATTTTGGCTTTTAGCACGGAGACATGTGATTTTTGCAAGGAATAGTTTAAGGTAAGAAAACTGGATTTTCTAATTATTTGCCTGTCCGAAAAACAATCTGTCTGCAATCGCTTCAAATGAAAATTCGATATCGCGTTTATTTTGAGGAAAACCGGCCGACCGAGCCAAATGTATTATACAATGTACAGAAAACAATTTTGCAGCGAGGGTAGACGAACAAACCTTTAACTTCCAGACCGTTATTGTCGAAATCCTACCTGATGCGTTTAATTTAAAATTCAACTTTAAAAGAAAACAAGAATCTAACCAGCTGGAAGTCTGCTAGTTCACTTGTTTAACTATCCTTCTACGCGTGTCTTTATAAAAGGCGCCGTGTTTTTGCGTTTCGCTTGACTGATTCTCGCACAGGTGCTATTACGCCAGAACGCATTCTCCTCCGTTCTTCGTTGATGTTTATAGATAACATTACGCGAATAAATTAAACTTGGAACTGTTTTCGATCCGTCGTGAGTTGTTGTACTTTCGATGGCTATGTTTTCAATGTGTCGAATTTTAAATAACAATAATCAAGGAGCTAGTGATGAAAGTGGTCTCTCAAGAACAACTTATAGTGTCTACCTAGATAGCCAAACTCGCCAAGATTATACCAGTTCTCAATATCTTTTACAAGGTATTAAGCCTCTGTTTCCCTCATTCACGGCGATATCAATACGAAAAACAAATCATCCTTAGACTCATATGCAAATTCATGACAACAGGCCAGGTTTGTTTCGGGTAAATATTGCTGATAAAAGACCTCTTCATTGTGCGATACGTAATGTAAACGATTAGCAGTTCTGTATCTGAAAATTAGTACAAGATACCTGTAAGCTTACATACTTGTTTTATCGACCAGCAAAATTTGAAAAAGGCCTTTTTTAAACTCCTAGCATGTATCATTATTTTTTACTGTTAATTTCGTGAGGTTTAGTTAAGGTTTACAAAATGGTTTTGTTGTTGCAGTTTCGCGCGACTGAAGAAACTTCTCGCAATATAGCAGAGATTTACTCTGTGGATATTTACCTGTTCGTTCGATGGATAAACATCGACGCGTTTTAATTTTGGCTGGAAAAATTAATGGAAATTAAACGAGGAGTGCTAAAATAGAAGACGTCAGGGACTCATTTGGGGAGATCCATCCAGATTTTTAAGTGTGCGGTATATTTAATATAGGTTATAAAAACGCACATCAGACTATTATATATATGTTGCTAAGGAGAGCTGGATATTTTTGGACTACACTCCACATATATATGAATATAAACACGGGATTTCAACCGCAAAATTGCCGATGAATGCGTTGAAATGTGTATCCGAGAAAGGCAGAGCTATAATTTGTATACTGATTTAGCTGGCATAAATTGATTTTAAATTTTACATGCGCGTGCTATGTAGCGCTAAAATCTAAGCTTGCTCATCATACTTGAAACAAAAAGTAGCATCTTTCAAATTTGGATATTACTTTCAAGAGATTTCTCAGCAATATATATATTCTTACTAATCGTATATATTTAGTATTTTTTTTAGTGAACCAATAACCGTGTATGTGCGACATATATATGTATGCGTCAAATGATTTTTGTCTAAATTTATCAAATTACTTCATACTTAGCTTGTATTCTCCGTTTGTAATTATAGATCTTTATTTCCTGAAGTGAATAACCAGTAAAATCCCTCAGTGCTGTATAGTATTCCACTATTGTTCGTTCAAAAACTTCCTTTTCACGAAAACGAATAAATTAAAATAAAGTTTCAATATCGCGACTGCACATTAAACCGAATTTACGTGCTAGAAACTTGCCCGACGCAAAAAGGAGAACCAATATCATTTCAGAGACAGATTTGTGTTAGCTTTGGCAGCACGAATCTTAGCCACTTTAGAGATTATTACGTTTCGTGTTTTCGCTCTCTGACTGACAGGTTACAATGGATGAACGTAAAAAAGGTATGTTTTTAATTTGGCATCGAAACTTGACGACGTATCTTAATATGAACGTTAACAAGGCACGTTCATGATCACGAACAGAGTTATTGCTTTGGTTTACAATACAGTGAATCATAATATCTCGTAATTTTTTTTCTTGAAGTAATAGTTATTTTCGTGCCGAGTAAGGGAGTAACAAAAATTCAATCTTGGTTTTCAAGTTACCTGTTATATAGTAGATAACAATTTCTAGCCAGTTTTTATGGGTGAAACGAAAATAACATTCTACACTTCGCTTGTGTTGACGCCATCGTGCCATTATTTTCAGAAATTATCAGCTTTCTTTCAAAACGACAAGTCATGGCTCGCAATGAACTTAGTGTTTGTAAAGCCAACGATTGTCAGAACCATTCTCACTCGCTAATAGGCTAAGAAAACGATAATCGGACTGTATTCTTCTAAAAATAGGTCGTCACGGGAACTGGACAGCGAAAATGGAAAGACGATTCAAAGAAAACGTTGTTGATATAAAGACCACCAAATTCGCCTCATGTTGTTGTTAAATGCGTTTTGCGAATAAAAGAAAGAACTAGATTTTCAACACCCACCTGTGGGGAAGAAAGAAAGACATTTGACCATCATTATTGACCCTTATTGATTTGAAGAAGAAAGACGCCATTGGCGGATTCACCGAGCGGAAAAAATAACCCAGGCAAAATTATTCCTTGCAGTCAAAGGTGTTTCAAATCTGTAGCTTATTTGACCGATGTGTCAGTGATTTAGTGATATTTTACCGATGTTGTCATGTAACTAAGATTAACATTTACATCCTTGACACGAAATACAAGATAGAATGAGGGGTTACCACTGACGGTAAATTGACCGATAGCCGTAGGGCCGGACACAGATTGAATTGTAAGCGCAATTAATAACATCATTTATGAAACATTTATTCATAAGTCAACTTGGCCTCAAAATTGGACAGACTGGCCACAGATTTCGCGTAAGTAAAACGATTTATGTATGAAATAGCCGATCTTTAGGTCGACTTCAAATCGTGTCACATTCGGTGACGGGGCTGTGTTCGGCCATTTTGGCGATGTGTTCGATATTTTGCGGGAAATTGCTCGCGATCAATACGGGTTTAAATTNTGTTAATCTTAATTTCAATAGCTTCAACCCGTGAATGACCACAATGTTGTGCTCTACTCCCATTATATAGCAAACTATGAAGGAGAGCATTTCAATTTGACGCACAGCGGACTTAACTATCTCATATCATCGTTTTGATATATCTATCTCCTTTTTTATATCACAGAGGGTAACCGAGGATTTCAAGCAAAAAATTTTAGTTTTAGAAAGCGATCTGACAGAAGCTTTGGATGAACTGAGTGATGCGCTTGAACGTGAAAAGGATTTCGAGGCTTGCTTGGAGAGCTCTCAACTTCGAGAGAAGGCGCTGCTCAGTAAACAAAAGCGAATGGAGGAGACATGCAGGGAACAAGAAAACGAAATCCAGTATCTCACTTTGACAAAACCAAAAGACAAAGACAAGCCGGCGCCAGAGGCTGAAAAATCGACTACTGAGGCGGGAACAATGACAGACTTCCCGTTCTACAGCGAAAGAGCGATAGATGTTGGCGGGTACAGCGCAACCGGCGGGTACAACGCTACCGGTGTTAATGGTGCATTCAGTGATATCGATTTGAAAGACTCGGGCGACAGTCCACCGCACCCGCAAGGAGACTCGAGACCTGAAGGTGTGGATCTTCTAAGCAGTACAGGGACGCTGCTGAGGAAGAAGAACGAGATTATGAGAGAGGCGAAGCGCAGGAGGACAGCGAGGTCTAAAAAGGGGCAGCGAAGAGATGTACGTAATAGATATGGCCCTGAGCCTGAATACGAAAAGGCCAGAGCGAAGGCCGAGAGGAAAACGCTATTGAGTAGACTGTGTTGTTGTGTTAAACAACAAAGTGCTGAGTATGAAGTAGATCCTGATCAGGACAGAGCAAGGGTGCGATACCATAGATAATGACGAACTAGACATGGTGACAGAAGTGAAGGTGCATTAACTGCAAGTGTTTCACAAGACCGAATGGCCGAACATTCACGAAGTGTCAACGATTGTCACCGAAAATTTCGTCTTCGGATCTGCGACGAAGACCAGCTGAAAAGGACCACGAATTAAACTTGTAGCTGAAACAGAGCGCATTTTTACAGACTTTCATGAGGAACTTTTAACTGTAAATATTATTTTCTTTTTGTTTTTCGAATTCTATTTGCTAAATTTCAGTAACAAGACTAACTCATTGGAACATCATGGGTTATACGGTTGAAATCATCAGGGGTGATTTTAACCAATAATTTTAAAAGTAACTGAAGTCCCAAGGGGAGAAAAAGAGGCGAGAAAAAGGTTAAACTGGCCATAAAAATCTGAATCTTTCAATGTTGCCAAAGCATAACAATCCGCATGATATTCATTTACACCTACACGTTGTATGTACAGTTGAACCTCCTGTAAACGGAACACCTTTGAGTTCAGAAAGCAGGGCCGTAACTAGTTATTTTTGCTGTCGGTTTTGCTCTTACTTTTATCAAAAACACCCTAAATACCTTGGGCGAGAATTTAACCATGGACATTGCCTCTGTCGGCAAATTGTTTTCTGGCTAAGGCCCCTGAAAGAGTCCACTTGGATGAAGTGTTAGCCTGAGGGAGGTCATGTAGGGAGGTAGCGGAGGTCATGTACGTTGCACTGTGCTGTTTTCTGGTATCATTTTTCGCCTGTATGCAGATTAAGCTGTGTTGGGTTTATAAGTTTACTTTGTCATTGGACTCAGGTCTACAGTGCAAATTGTATCATACATTTTTTAACGTTCATTTTCATTATATTCGAGGATAAATTTAAATATTAAATAATCGGCCAGTATGCATACAAGTTAAAAAAAGAAAATTGTACAAATGTCTTTGAGAGTATTTGCTTTTTGCCGAGAAGTTGCTGTCAATTTATTATGAAATAGTAAATTGTATTAAATCTAATAATTTGAAAGTTATAACTTATGATCGTCTTTAATATGACGGTGAATATGAACTGAGCCATGAGTTACCTGGGTACAAGAATTGCCAATCGCACACACTTTCAAGAGAAGTACGTATAGAAAGTCACTAAAATTAATTCATGCTACAGTTTGACTCTTACATAACGAATCTGACCACATTATGAATAATTCTTGTAGCGGAGACCGTTTCCCAAATTGTTTTATCGATTAGACTTTTCAATTCTACAACAAGCATCGAATGTAAATTTTTTGCCACCGAGGACTTCCACTACGCAGAAATCGTTCTGCCTAAAACCTGTAGCATTATTTTGATTTTTAATGACCATCCTGGCTTCAAAAATATTATCTTGAAAGACAACAATATTTAAATTTAAGGTTAAGGGGGAAAATCTAAAAAAGTCTGTATATCTTAAGTAAATAAGACAAAATAAATTTCTCAAGAGGCATATTTTATTAGGCAACCTTGGAGAAAGCGACCTGAGTTTTCTTTGCACATTTTGCAAAATACATAATACTTATTTTAGACCAAGGACATCATTTTACTTCATAAAAGTAGCTGTACATATAATTGCATACCGCGAGTAAACTGAGCAAGACTTTTTTATGTACATATGATAGAATTAAAAATAGATTTATGATGAAAATTCTACACGTTTCTGTTTTAAGTCTCTTCAAATAATTTAGGATACAGTATCTATGAATTCTGCGAAATGGAAACAGTTTTTCACAGCACGCGTTGTTTTATTTCCAAGCCTACAAACGTGAGAAACACACCGTTTCTAAAATGTTTCAGCGATTCTGTGGGCAGAGATGATTGATATCATTGCAAAAATGATTTGGTAGCAACCGTCAGCTGCAGATGTCCGCAACAGGAAAAAGATGGTTGTCCCTTTCTTCGTCCTTTAAAGGTTCGATAGGTCGGCGACAGAGGATATTTTTATCTTTGTAGTACAACCTGTTGCAGAGAAAGACAAGGAAAAATTAAAGAAACATTCCGGAAAATTTTATCGGAAGAATTTGAAAAAGCTGTGTAAACATTCGCTGACAACTCGTCAGAGTTTCTAGAAACTTTCTGACTCCCAGATTGCACTAGTGTTTTTTTTTTTTTTACATGAGGAAAAAACATGAAGGTGTTTTCCCTTTTTTAAGGCAAACTGGCCGACCCAGGGCATCCACCCGTAGTCGGATTGAAAGGCTATCACTGAAAACGTATAGCAAGTAAGCACGACTTCGTAAACACTAGTACCTGAAATCGTGGCCCTTGAGGCTCCTAAACTTCTCGTGCTCTTGATCAGGTATTGGCACCTTATTCTTCTCCATCAGCCAGCCCTCCTTCTCAAAAGGTCCCGGATAAAATCCCCAGTTTCCCTCTTCCCTTTGATCCCTCGCGATTGGAATTAATTTCCCAGTTTTCCTCGCGGGAGTGTCGACGCTGGGATTAGCGACCACAGCCAACGGTGGAATTTTCTCCAATGTGAGTCCTGCCCTCGAAAGTGAGAATTTTTCCGGGTGATTTTTAAGAAGTCCTTCCAGCTTCGCAAGCTGATTTGAGGCTTTAGCACCTCGGTCCCTAAGTTCTGTTTCCGTTAAACAACGATGAGTACGGAAAATAGTATCGTCCACAACAATTCTTTCTTGCCACTGACGAGTATATTTCTCCGCCGCTTCGTTCTCTTCCTGTTCTTTGGTGTCACCAGCGGCGTGCACAGAGAGGACAGCGTTTTTGTCAAAGAACGGAGGTGGAACAGAAAGTAAGTTTAAGTCGGTATCTCGATAATCCCATGGAAAATTCTCCCTGTTGATACAAGAAAACAACGTAAGGTAAGTCTGCATACGCGCCAAGAAGCGCATCAGGCCGGAGCTTATCACCGGTTTCTGTAGCATGAAGCGACTAGGAGTATTTCTACTTCCCCCTGGATGGGATGCTAGTCCATCGCAGGGTTACCCCCATCTTTATACCCCTGGATGGGGAAAGGTACCGTAAGAGTAGAGTGTCTTTCCCAAGAACACAACACAATGTCCCCGGCCAGAGCTCAAACCCGGACCGCTTGATCCAGAGTCGGGCGCACTAATCATGAGGCTACGCGCCTCCACAAGAAAAAAAAGAAACCTCAAATCTGGCAAATTCGAGAACCATTTTCTGCGACTTACAAAATTACTTCAAAATGAATCATAATGAGAAGGCAATGGCAGGAATTGTTGCACAAACTTACCTGTCTACTGTGGGTTTCAAGATGTTAGCGTGCAAGATGTTCTCTTTCCATGGCTGCAAGGGAAAGAAAATAGACTAAGAACAAGCTTAAAGGTACTTCATTTGAATTCGTCGATAATCTTGGGAATGGTAGATTAATAGTACACATGTGTAAACCGACACGACGGATTATAGGTAAAAGGTCACTTCCGTGTTGCTTTTTGCCTCCTTATCAAAACGAGTCTTCGTGTAAAACCATTCATATGAAAATGTGTGCCCCCTACATGGTCATTTTCATGCAAATCAAACTCATTTTCATATGAAAGTTATTGCACAAAGACTCGTTTTGAAACAGAGGCACTGAGTAGCTCGGAAATGGCCTATCTGAGAACAAAAATGTGGTGTGTTGTTAAGTCTCTTAACCATTTTGTAAGTTTGCCAGAGCTAATGAAACAAAGAAGGAAGAAATTAGACACTTTGATTAATGACTTATAAACTGAAAATATACTTGGAAAATTTTGGGTGTAAGAAAATGGGCAATTCGAGGCAGGTCTAAAAGTTTTGTTACATTGAGGAAGTAGTAGACTAGTAGATCGCTCAGAATAGTTTTGCTAGCTGCAAGCTACTAAGGCTTGTAAACTTATTATATATCAATAAAAGTTACTGTGACTGTTACTGTCGATTTAAGCTCTGGTCTCTTTGTCACTGTTGCCAAAACTTTATCTATCATGCAGGTACCTTTTGTAATTCGTCCACCCGAGCCGAGTCAGGCTTTTTAGGATGTATGTTTGAGACTAAAGAGGTCTTCTTTCCAGGAAAAATGAATCCTTTCTCAGTTCTCCACCGTTCTTTTGAGTCCATAAGATCTTGTTTTCTCACAGTCTCCGGGTGGATGGGTAGAACCGTGGCTGAGTTGTACAGAGGACAGTAGGTGAAACGACGGTCTTTATCCTGTAAATTAAGTCACAGAAGCAATTTAATAAATTAATAACGCATTATCTGTCGTCTAGATGTTCTTTAACGAGTTGACACGCTTGAATAAGCGTAGAATTATGGAAGCCACTTAAGAGCACGCAAGATCCCTGGACTGGCTTACACCGCCAATCACCTTTTGACACTGACAACACGTGCCACGATTTTCGCGCCTTTCTTCTTACAAGCTGGCGTGCTGTAACCGTGTAAGAACATGACGCATGCGTTTCGAGGGCGCGTGTGCGTGCGAGGAATACACACAAGATTGAAGCGTCCAGACTATAAAAATACGTACCTCTGCAAGAACTTGTCTAAGTTTCTCTTTCGCCAGTTCAGTAGAGTTCAGTGTCTGTATGCTATAATTGTGCGCGGTTTGTTGATGTAATTCAGTCATGTCAACAGCAATGGTCTGTGGTCTTCTCTTGGGTTCTGTTGTTCGCGTCCTTAACTGAAATCAAAACATTTGACAAGTTAGATGAAAATCATCTCATATCCAACAAGCGCGAGTGAAATAATTGTTTTGTTGAAATAAAATATAGAAAACTAAAGGTCTCTGAAGAGTCCCTTGGCCGAGACGAAACGTCGCGTCAGATTAGCCACGAACATTTCGCAAGTATTTCAAAATAAAATAAAAATAAAAACAAACCAATTACGCGTTCCCTCATATATACCATATTTGTAAGGCACGGTATAATGGCTCATGTACCATGATGGCTAAGCCAATGAAAACTCTTGAATTGTATTATCCAATGATCCAGTTTTTAATAAAAGCGTTTCGACGCCAGTTCGGTTAAACAATAACCTCCCCATCTCTTCAATTTGGCGACTACTTCTGTACTTGCTTAAAGTTACGTCTTACGGGCCCCGAGTTTTCCTTCAGACCAAGGTAAGTATCATTTGTTCTTTCATGATAATGTGCATTTGACTTACAATGTTCTCCCTGATGAAGTCGTGCCTTATAAGAGTCCGTTCTCGATCTTTCAGCAGTGTGACGTAATCTGAGTTGAAAACAGACAATGGCGTCCATGGCCGAGTAGTCCTGGGTCTAGGCTCCACCAGTAGGTTACCTGATCCAGCTTC